GTGGCTCTTAATCTCAGGGTCGTGAGTTCAAGCCCTACAGTGGATGTGGAGCCACTTAAAATAAATCTTTAAAAAATTTAAAAATTTTAAAAAGCAGGCAAAAACCACTGACAAATTCAGGTACCTGAGCAAGACTACAGCCAATGTCTGATGGACTAGTCAAGAAAGGCAGCATCCAAGCTGGACTTCACCAGTTTCCAACCTTTCAACAGAATCATTCTGAGCAAGGCTAGTGACCCCACATGAATCCCTGGTGTCAGTTCCATATCCCCCAGACATTGGGACACTGTTCCAAAGATAGTAGACAATTCACTCCAGGCACAGTCACTCACACTCAATGCCTGGAACACTAAGGCGAAGTTCCCTTTATTTACTAGGATTTAACAAAGGATTTCAAAGAAGCTCTGTAAGCAAATCCTGCTAGCACAAACTGCTATTTAAATATTTAACTTTCCAATTACACTCCTTAAATACTGCAGTTAATAGGGGCGCCTGTGTGGCTCAGTTGGTTAAGCATCTGACTTGGGCTCAGGTCATAATCTCAGGGTTTTGGGATTGAGTCCCGCATCTGGCTCCCCACTCAGCAGCAGAGCCTCTGCTTCTCCCTCTCCCTCTGCCCCTCCTCCCACCCACTCACTTGTATGCACCCTCAAATAAGCTCCTTAAACAAATAAATACATGTATACATACGTAAGTGTGGAAAGAGGTGTTTCCTATATCCTTCGCTACAATGCAAACCTCTTTACAAACACTTTTATTCCAAGAAGCCCTTTTGTTAGTCAATTTTTTTAAGTGTTAAAATTCTTTTTTTTCTGAACCTACCTATGAGGGGTAAGTCCAGCTAAGCCCCTCATCAAGCTTTAATTCTAAACCTTGTTTGACCTGGAACTCTTGTGCATTACTGGTAGGAACGTAAAATGGAACCACCACAGTGGAAAAGAGTTTGTCACCCTCTAAAGTAAGCTTCCTTCTTGTCCCTGTCTTGAAGCTGTTACACCTAAGGCTTAAAGAAACTAAATAAACTAGCACAAGGCCTCTCTGCCCAGATTTGTAACCAACAGACTTATCTTGACTCAAAGTCCCTATTTCTCACTACACTGTACTTCCTCCCGTGACCCTGTTAAGCTACTGAGGAATTTGTTAGCCCCTTACTATTATAAATCCAATGACAGGAACAGGGGCTGAAGGTAAACATTCGGAAAAGGAGAAAACATCGAGATTTTCTTCAAATTACAATTTCTTAACTGCCAGCCTCTTTGGAAAAAGAAATACAAGATTATACAGGAACGCACGTGATAGAACACTGCAAAATAAGATCCTTCAGCGGGGCACATCTGAGTGGTGACATTCAGTCTTTAAAGCTACATTTGTGCTGCTCATTTTAGAGGACAGAAGTGGTGTGTTCAGTCTGCACCTCCCAAATGCTGACTTCTCCCGCATAGTTCTCCCAGAATGGACTCGACTTTCATAATATTCCTATATCCCTGAAACTAATGTAACATGTGTGTCAACTACATTTCAATAAAAAAGCAAATAATAATAATAAAATGTTCCCCAGGGCTGAAGACTGTATCCAAGTGAATACTTGTATACCTTGACTTCCTCCCTTCCAAGAGCAGCAAAATCACTCCTGTCCCAGGAGCCCTGGAAACGTGAGAAGACTGTATTCAGCTACACCATGTTCTAATGGGAGGAAAAGATCCCTCCCTCCCACCACTGCCCCCAAGCCCTGGATTTCCTTCCCCAGACAGGTATGAGGGGGTGGTAACAGGCCACCTGAAAAGCTGGTGCCCTGATCCTTCCTCCTAAAAGAAGGGAGCTACAAAAAAATGGCAGAAAGAGGTCTGTTTCCCATCCCTCCCTCCAGCCTTCCACAGTGGTCCAACTGCCAGGGAAACAGGAAGCCCAGAAGAGAGAGGCGATGTTCCTGTCCTGTGTGATCAGCTCAGCCTCAGTCAGAAAGGCTGACTGACCTCCGCTCTCACCCAACTTTTAAGAGAAAAGTAGAATCCACCATCTATGCATGTTATTTGTCCACACATTCATCTTACAAACATTTAATGAGCATATACTATGTGCCAGGCACCATCGCAGGTAAAATATCCACCCTAATAGAACAGACAATTCAGCATGGAGAAACAATGAACAAAATGAATAACTATTTTGTGTATTAGAGAAAGACCTATGGAGAAAATAAAGCTGGAGATGGATATATAAAAAAGTACGTGTATGTGTGCGTGTATGAATTAATAGGAAGATTAATTATAATCCTCAATGAAACAAAACTTATTTCTGAGGGTGGGCAATTTTTAAACATGTCAGATTAAATGCCAATGGAGAATTCCTATGTTTAAGTTCCTATAATAACAAATTCAGCATCACAATAAAAAAAAGACACTTCATTACCACTCCCCTACATTTTATTTCCAACCCCTCTTTTATTTCCAACCCCTCTTAACCATTTCTACTTGCTTCTCTCCAAAGTCTAGAACCAGTCAGAATATGCACATTAGCCCTTATAAGTTTTAAATCTTTAAAATAAATTGCTAAAAATCTGCCAAATTATGATTTTATATATTCTGAAAACCACCACCACCATGAAGCTGCCCTCTGTGTCAGGCTTGACTTTACAACACTCATAATTGGTTGGGTGAGGATCAGCCCACTGGTGGATGTGGTAACTCTGGGTTGCTCAATCAGCACAACTACGGTTAGTTGCTTCCCAGCTAAATGCCTGAAGGTAAAGTGTCCAGCAGCCAAGAAGATGTCACACTTTCACAATCAACAGGAGGTTCTGAGTCCCCCGGAAATAAAGCAAAGTGTCATGTGTCTTTTTGTGAGGTATTGGGGGGTTGATCGGACTGCCTTTAATAAGAGCACTGTGGGGACGCCTGTGTGGCTCAGCAGTTAAGTGTCTGCTTTCAACTCAGGGTGTGATCCCAGGGATAGAGTCCTGGGATAGAGTCCTGCATCAGGCTCCCTGCAGGGAGCCTGCTTCTCCCTCTGCCTCTGCCTCTCTCTCTCTGTGTCTCTCATGAATAAATAAATAAAATCTTTAAAAAAAGAAAATTGTGAATACTCACTGTAAGCCCAAACCAAAGTATATGCCAAGTAAGTACAAAGCCAAAGGTATGATAACATGAGACCTGCTTGATTTTGGAATGCAACAAGGAGGGGGAGTGTATCATTTTGAGTTCATTGCAAATAGACTCTAGAAAAAGAAGTGAGGCTCTCTGGAAGGGACGCTGACTTCAATCTCTATCGGGCACCATATCTGAGGCTTTGCCTAGCTTGTCTGGACCCGTTTCCCTTGCTAAAAGGTGAATACCCTAAGTCTTTCCAAGGCAGCCACAAAAACACCCCACACTGTCAACTGTGCACTGAATTAAGTGATAAAAAACACCTGCTGGGTAGATGTTTCATATGTTCCCTGTTTCACAAACCTTCAAACCCTGTCCTCATCCTCTACTAAAGGAGACAGGCCAGGTACTGTGCTTAACATCCCAAAAATTAAGATACACTGCCCTCAAAAGACTGGGAGGACAAACCCCTCCTCTGGCCTCTTAGCCTCTGACGGGCCTCACAGGGCACCGCCAAACTTGATTTCCCAAGAGCTCTGGCATTAAGTGCCACCAAGCTGCTCAGGGACACACTAAGGCCTCAATGGCCTCCTGCCTCCTACACTAACTCCCTCTCTCACAGCTTAAAAGCAGCTCCCAGGGCAGGCCTGCCTGCTGCCCAACCAGTCCCCACTACTCACCATCATCACTGGTCACCTCACCACCCCCTTTCATCCAGATTCCTCGACTACCCCATCCAGAACGCCACCAGGTCATACCCACTCCTTGAGACTGAGTAAAATCCATCCTCTCACCGAATCCAACTGTCAGCTTTCTCACCTTCCAAGTCTAAAGTACAGGAAGGGTAATTCCCCTTGCAGTGAGTTGTTTCAGGACCTACTGATCACATCTCCCCACTAGACTTTACTCCAGGAGGACCCGCCCCGCCCCCCCCCCCCCAAGAATAAGCCAACACTGGAGTCACCAACAGTGAGCCTAGGCACCCAAGTTCAGTGTCTTGACCTCTCTCTCCAGCCTTGGTCTCCTACTTCCCTCTCAATAGAAGGAGGGATGTGATGGGGAAAAAAAAAGATCTAAGGTCTCTTTTAACTCAGATTCTAAAATTTGGAAATTCCATATAGATTCCCTAGACACAAATGAAAAAGGCTAATTAACTGTTCCTCCGTTGACCCATTTAAACAGGTGGCCCAGCTATGGAAGCTGGCCTCAATTTTTCCAAACGCTTGATCTTCGCAGATAGTAACTTTTAGAGAGAGAGAGAAAAAAAAAAGCTTTGTTTTTCATAAATTTTACAAGCCTGAGTCTTGTTCCTTCTATCATCGCTTGGAAGAAACACGTGGGGCGGGGAACTGACCTGCTCGATTTTGCTACTAAGATCCTAAGCCTGGCACTGGCACTGCCTCGGTTTCTCCTCCGGGTGGGCAGACGGTGCCCGGCCCGCCCTGCCCTCTCACCCGGCGGGCCCTGCAGTCCCCGGCCGGACGCCACCTGGAGCCTCGGGCGCGTCCAGATGGCCGAGTCGGGGCGGCCGGGGCGCACCCCGCCGTCACCTGGCCCCGCACCACGGCCTGCGCTCCTCCCGGGGCGGCCCCTGCCCCCTCGGCTCGCGCTCCGGTCGGCGCTTCTTGCATTCCTGAGCCACGCCGGCCTCCACGCGGTCGCTGGGCCAGGCGGCGAGGGCACCTGCCTCGCCCGCAAAAACGCACGAGCCCGCAAGTCCCTCTTGCCACGACCTCGACGGGGGCTTGCGAGGGAAACCCCGGAGAAAGCAAAACAAGCCCGAGGCAGGGCCGTCCCGGCCGGGCGTCTCCCACGGCATCGCCACCTGCGAGGCGCCCCGGGCGGGGGGCCGCGGGCCCGGCGGGGAGCGAGGTCCGGGGCCCGGCCCGCTGCGCCCGCCCGCGCCGGCGCGCCCCTTACCCGTGAGGCGGCCGCCCCCCTCGCCGTGCCCGCGGCGCCGCTGCAGGATGAAGTAGCAGCTGCTCTTCTGAGTCACCCAGAGCTTCAGGGCGTTCTTCAGCAGCACCTCCTCGGGCTTGAGCCACATCGCAGCGGCCCGACCGCGCCCGCGGGCCCCGGCTCACATCGCCCCGGCCGCCGGCCGCCTGCCGCCTGCCGCGCCGGGCCGGGCCGAGCCCGCTCGGGAGGAAGCGGCGGCGGCGCGGACCGCAGCCAGCCGGCGTCCTGCGCTCGGGGAGTCCGGGGAGCGCGGCCGGCGCAGCTCGCCGCTCGCAGCCCGCGCAGCCGCGCAGGCCCCGCCCCCGCGCAGGCCCCGCCCCCGCGCAGGCCCCGCCCCCGCGCAGGCCCCGCCCCCCGGGCCCGCCCCCGCGGCTCCCGCTCCCGCTCCGGCTCCGGCTCCGGCTCCGGCTCCCGCTCCCGCTCCCGCGGCGCCGCCTGGGCTTCCGAGTCCCGGCCGCTCCGGCGCACAGTTCCGGAGTGGAGGGAGGAAGTCCCATCCCTGCTGCCCGGTCCCCCTCCTCCCTCCGCCGCGCCTGCGGGGAGCGCCCTGACTCTCCTCCTCCCTCCGCCCGTCCTGGGAGGCAGCTCGGGACCGCGGGGCTCGCCTCCCCGCCGCTCACTCCGAGAGGAGGAGGAGCGAGGGAAAAGGACATCTTGTTCTCACAGCTGCAGGTTGCCCAACCGAGGGCATTTATTTGTCTTTTGGGGGGAGCAGAATGCACGCCAGGAAACCCAGGTGTGTTTGGAATAACGTATCATTTGGCCTAACAAGGGACAGTTTTACAGATAGCCAAAAAAATAGCATTAAACGTTAAAATCGATTATTTTCCGATTTTTAAGAATGCTTGGCCCACGTCTTTGATGCTCTCACGAGGGATCCGACAGAGCTGCTGGAGAGGACCCTGAAGTGAAGCACCAGCGCAAACTCAGACTGGACGCCCTCCCGGGTGCAGTAAGGGCCCCCTGCGGGTCCCACCGCAATGAAACCAGCCGCGTTTGTTCCAAGAGAATTAAAAGACTGGGAAATACAGAATAGGTGATACCAAAGAGGAGCTATAGGGAATGTGGAGACAGGATCTTAAAAATGAGTATTTCCTCAAAGCTGTTGTAGAAAGAGACACATGGCAGCTGACCTTAAGCAGGCTGGTGGCCCTCCTAGCAGTGTCCTCAGAGAGCCGGTTAACTCCAACACCCCTAGCAAAACTCCCATCAAAATGGCCCTCAGGTTTTGACAAAGGGGTCCCTGAGAAAATGGGACTTAATTAGGACAGAATTGAAAAGTACAAGTAAATCCCCCCGCAGAACACGTGGGGACTGAGTGATACTTCTCACTGGAAGCCAAGGAATCCATTTGCAGAGGATCAGAAGGGGCCAGGTCACAAGCCTGCGACCTGACCAGGTGGGCTAAGAGCCATGGCAAGAACCCTGAGCCCACCCGGAGGGCAAGGGCATCTGTGGTCAAGAACTGGAAGACCACTGACCTCTGAGTAAAACTGAGGAAGGAAGTCAGCTATAATCAGGGAAACTTGGGTGCACTGGAGCATAAAGAGCGGCCAGGGATGGCAAGAAAATACTCCTTCAAGAAACAGTCACTGGGACCTCTCTCTCTGGGACAGGCTGCCAGGCCCTGGAATTGCAGAGAAGAATGGAAGATGGGCCCTGCCCCGATGAACTCACAGGTAGGCAAATAGGCACAAAGCATAGTGGGAATGGTGGTGGAGACAGTGGGGATGCACAGAATGAAGTGTCAGTTCCTCAGCAAAGGGGACTGAGAAAGCTTCACAGAACAGTTACCTGCCTGGGGCTTGGGAAATAAATATGTGTTTGCCACCACACAGAGATGACAAGTCTTATAAATGGGTCAGTACATATGACATTGTGGTTTAGGGCACAGGGGATGCAGCCTGCAGAAGTCAGCCTCCTGGGCACAGAGCAAGGCGAAGAAGGTTGGAGAGGAGATCTGGAGGGGTGGAGAGGGGATCTGGAGGGGCCAATGGAAAGTATCTCACATGGTGGTAACAACATTCTACTCTTGCTCATCTCTGGATGTTCATCACTTTTTTTTTTTTTTTTGTATTATGGTTTAAATTGCGTCCACCGAAATTCTTAGGTCAAAATCCTAATTCCCAGTACCTCAGAATGTGACTTTATTTGGAAACAGAATAATCGCTGATGTAATTAGGAAGTCACAGTAAGGTTATAAGGGAGGGACCCAATGCAGTATGACTGGTATCCTTATAAAAGGGAAATTTGGACACAGACATGCACACAGAACACCATGTGAATTTTGGAGTTGTGCTTGCTGCCACAAGCCAAGGAACTACCAGACGTGGAGCAGATCCTTCCCTAATACCCTCAGGAGGAACTAACCCTACCAATACCTGGATCTCAGTTTTCTAGCCTCTAGAACTGTGAGACAAGTTCTGTTGTGTGGGTTTTTGTTTTTTTGTGTTTTTTTTGTTTTTTGTTTTTTAAGATTTCATTTATTTGAGAGAAAGAGAGAGAAATCACCAGAAGGTGGGAGGGCAGAGGGAGAAGCGGAGAAATAGGCTCCCCGCTGAGCAGGGAGCCCGATGCTGAGCTCCATCCTGAGACCCTGGGATCATGACCTAGGCCAAAGGCAGATGCTTAACCAACTGAGAACCACCCAGGTGCCCCCAATTTCTGTTGTTTTAAACCACATGGTTTGTGGTACTTTGTTATGGCAGTTCCGGCAAACAAATACAGCTGGCTCCCTACACCTGTCTACACCTGTTCAGTAGCAAGTCTCTTGAACCAATCTGAGTTGGATTCTGTTTCTTGCCAGGACCCTGAACTGGTGCCTGGAGTGGCCCCAGGAAAAGTTCCTCAGTATGGAATCCTGCCTGGATTACTCACCCATTTGTGCATGATTAGGAAGCAAAAGAAATGTAGTAATCTGTGGCACGCAGAGGCAGCAAGATACTCAAATCAGCACTGCCTGTAGTACGAGGGGCAGATGGAGGACAAGGCTTTGGGGGCTTTGCTGCTGTTGCACTTGATTGCTATAGCAACAGCGATAACTAAAGAGATTGCAGAGCGAGATGACTGTTTCTGACTGCCTTAGAGAGCTTATTTGTTTAAAGATAAGCATGAAGCATTAAATTCCCATCTCAAAGTATAGATGTGGTGAAATCAAAAGAATCCGCTATCCACTGTAGCCATAGGGCAGACACGGGTCATGTTCAGATCTTAAATACAGTAGTTTGGGTTACAGAATTATTGGAAAGGGTAAATGCTCTACCTCGGCAAGTTCTCTTGCTACAATTAGTGATAAGGAAGTAGGGCCATAGACTTGTGATGGGAATATTTGGATGGATGCAGATGAAATGATAGTTTTATGGTGCAGTGGAGGTGTTAGCTAATGCTACAGTGGCAATCATATTACAATATAAATGTATCAGATCAATTCAGTAGTCCTCTCTTTCCCTCTGTTTCAGTTACCTGCTGTCAACTGCTGTCCGGAAACACATGATCTTCCTCTGATCTATCAACAGAACATCAATGTCATTCACCTTACTTCATCTCATCCATGAGCATTTTTTTTAAAAGATTTTATTTACTTATTTGAGAGAAAGAGAATGCACATACACATGAGGGGAGGAGGGGCAGAGGGAGAAGGAAAAGTAGGCTGAGCGGGGAGCCTATCAAGAGTCTTGTTCTCAGGACCCTGAGACCATGACCTGAACCAAAGTCGGATGCTTAACTGACTGAGCCACCGGGTGCCCCTCATCACATGAGTGTTTTATCATCTCATATCATCACCGGAGGAAAAAGGGTGAGTACAGTATAAAAAGATTTTGAGAGACCACATTATTTATATAACTTTTATTGCAGTATATTGTTATAATTGTTCTATTCATTTTTGGTTATTGTACTTAATCTCTTACTATGCAAAATCTATAAATTGAACTTTGTAATAGGTACATGTGTATAGGAAAAACATTATGTACTATCACAGATTCACTGCTATCCATGGTCCATGGTTTCAGGCATCCACTTGGGGACTTGGAACATATCCCCTACAGATAAAGGGAGACTACCATATGTTGTACACCTTAAATTTACACAAAGTTATATGTCAATTGTATCTCAATTTTTTAAAAAAAGATTTTATTTATTCATGAGAAACACAGAGAGGAGAGAGAGAGAGAGAGAGAGGCAGAGACAGGCAGAGGGAGAAGCAGGCTCCATGCAGGGAGCCTGACGTGGAACTCGATCCTGGGTCTCCAGGATCACGCCCTGGCCTGAAGGCGGTGCTAAACTACTGAGCCACCTGGGCTGCCCCTGTATCTCAATTTTTAAAAAAGAAAGTTAGAGGCAGAAACTTGAAAAAAATAGAATAACAGAATTAGAATAGAAATTGATAAAATTATCCCCAAACTTATCAAAAAAGTTATTATAACAAATGTGTAACAGAGAAAGCAGATAAATCTAAAAGTTAGATACTGAAAAATTAATACAGTCTCAGGACGCCTGGGTGGCTCAACAGTTGACTGTCTGTCTTTGGCTCAGGGAATGATCTCAGGGTCCAGGATCGAGTACCACATTGGGCTCCACACAGGGAGTCTGCTTCTCCCTCTGCCTATGTCTCTGTGTCTCTCATGAATAAATAAATAAAATCTTTTTAAAAAATTAATACAGTCTATAGAAAAATTGATCAATAGAAAGGAAAACAGGGAAGATTCAAAATAGACCTTTATAAATGCAAAAAAAAATAGACATCACTGCAGATTCTAGAGTTACTGAACAAAAAATACTACTATATCATTAATGATAATTTAGGAGTGCCTGGGTGGCTCAGTCAGTTAAGCATCTGCCTTCAGCTTAGGTTATGATCCTGGGGTCCTAAGATGGAGCCCTACATCAGGCTCCCTGCTCAGCAGAGTCTGCTTCTCCCTCTCCCTCTGTCTCTTTCCCTGCTTGTGCTCTCTCTCTCTCTCTCTCTTAAATAAATAAATAAAATAGTTAATAATAATTTTAAAAGTTGAGTTTCCAAATCCCAAGCCTCCCTTGCCAACAGAAGCAACATTTCCCTATGTGAGAAAATTAGCATTCACTAACATGAAGAGCTTTCAAAACTTCACCTAAGGCATTTGTCTCCTATGTAAATGCCTATTCTCCTCAAAACCTGCCCACATGGCACCTCACTGGCTCCAGGCCCATAACAAGAGTAAACTCCCAGCTTAGCCCAGAATGATCATTACAATGTCTGCTGGAG